ATTAGGTACTCCTGACAGTCACAAAGGAAGGCCAAGTTTTTACACTGTCTACTTCACGCTCTGCAACAGAAGACATTTGCAACGATCTATGACAAATAGAAGAACTACTGCGTTGTTTGCTGTATTGGTAAGGGTAAGGTTTGATAATCATGCTTGTATAGTGTAGTGGTTCTCGATCTTTTTTTTTTTTTAAAGATTTTATTTATTTATTTTTAGGGAGGGAAGGGAGGGAGAGAGGGAGAGAGAGAGAGAGAGAGAAACATCAATGTGCGGTTGCTGGGGGTTATGGCCTGCAACCCAGGAATGCACCCTAGCTGGGAATCGAACCTGGGACACTTTGGTTTGCAGCCCGTGCTCAAGCCACTGAGCTACGCCAGCCAGGGCGGTTCTCGATCTTTGTGGGATCATCATTCCTTTATACTCTTAAAGGTCAAATGAGTCCTAATGCATTTCTTTTTTATGTGTGTTAAATCCACCCGTATTTATTGTATTAGAAACTTAAAATTAGAAAAATTTTAAAATAATTATTTCTTTAAAAAACAATATATTCATTACATGTTAACATTTTTATGAAAGTAACTATTTTTCAAAACAAAAATATTGGTGAGAATTTTTCTAAAGCTCTTTAGTATTTGGGTTAGGAGACAGCTGGATTTTCATACTTGTTCATGCATTCACTCTACCATACTATGTTGTTTTAAGTAAATGAAGAAAAATCCAGCTTCACACGTACACAGTTGGAAAAGGGAGGATTTGTGGATTCCTCAAAGAGTTCTGTAGGCTGTGATGGGTAGTTTTATGTGTCTATGTGGCTAAGCCACAGTCCCCAGTCCCTCAGTCAAGCACTAGTGGAGGTAGTGCTGTGAAGGTATCTTGCAGGTGTGACTTAAGTCCATAATCAATGGGCTTCACATCTTTTAACAGTTCATTTGGTGGTGTATTTTTGCCATGGTCATTTCCCCCATACCCTCTTTTACCTCCACCCCGCCCCCAATCACCATACCGTTGTCCCTGTCCATGAGTCCTTTTTCTTTATGCTAAGTGAAAGAAGGCAGTCAGAGAAAGACAAGTGCCATATGATTTCACTCATATGTGGAATCTAATGAACACACTGAACTAACAGGCAAAATAGAGAGACCCAGAGTCAGAGAGCGGGGTGACACTTCTGGGGCAGGGTGGGGTGGCCTGTGCAGGGGCTGACCAATGGGCTTTAACTAGGAGAGATTATCCTAGATAAACTGCATGGGTCTGAGTCAATCATTTAGGAGCAGAGCATGGGTCTGAGTCAATCATTCAAGGCCTTAGGAGCAGAGCTGTGCCTTCCCTGAAGTAGGAGAAATTCCATCTGTGGATAGCAGCTTCCGTCTGTGCTTGTCATTCCAGCCTGGCCTGCCCGGTGGCCTCCCCTGTGGGTGTCACACTTGCCTCCCCAGCCGCACCATCATGCAAGCCAACTCCTTGCAACAGGTCTCTTGATACATATCTCCTACTGGTTCTGCTTCTCCGGTAGAACTCTGATGTGGGGACCCCCTAGGGGTTCCCAAATCACATTTTCAGAATCACTTGGTAAAGAATGTACTACATAAAGCCATTCCGGTCACTTACCCAACTGGCTTCACATAATACTACTATGGTGCCAATAAGGCAGAAACCACCACTGTTGTCCTCAGAGGGGGTATTTATCAAACAGCACACATCTGTCAGCGGCTCTCAGTTTTGATTCTTAATTTCTGGTTCCTATTCAGTGTTCTTTATTCTTTAGCACAAAAACCTTCTATACATTTGAAAATATGCTTGCAGATACAGACATTCATATTACTAAATACACACATTCCACCAAGAATTTCTTTGAAAAAAGTAAGTAGGACATAAAATCTACCTGATGCAAACGTGCTTGTTAATAAGAGTATACCAAATATTTTCTATGTGCCTATGTCCGCTCTGTGACTGAAAGTGATACAAAAGAGAAGTTAGCCTTTGTTTTATGGTCACAGAGTTTATGATTTACCCAAAAGAAAGAAGATTATTTACCACTGAAAATATGAGATGAGATTTAATAAGGAGGTTAGAATTTTGGTTCTTTCCTAATACTTTTTTGAGCACCAGGCACTTTTCCAGCTATTTCTACTCTGGAACAGACCTCCCTCAGCATCTGACGCCCCCACTGGTCAGTGAGTGTGTAGAAGACAGGGATGATAACTGATCAGTAGGTGCTCACTAGTCACCTGGTCATTGAATGACTGACCGAGGATGCAGAGGATGGGTACAAGACCTAAGGGCAAAAAGGAAGAGCAAAGGTAGAAAAGTTGGGAGATTCATGAACAAGAAAAAACTAAAAAATTAAAAGATGGAATATGACTTTTAAAGACAGCACAAGGAAAACTGAGCTGGAGAAGAGGATGAATGTTAAAGAGTGTTAGGAGGTTTTTTGAGAACAAATGAAGGGTTTCCATGTTTTGAAAGACTAGCCAAGGAACCGGGGTTCATTAGAAAGAAGAATCAGGACGGTATCACGGTGAAGACTATAACCTGAGTCAGACAAATCTGAGTTTGAATTCTGGCTCCATCACGTACTAACTATAAAACCTTGAATAAATTTCCAAGCCTCTCTGAGCCTCAGTTTCTACCACCATAACACTTTGGGGAGTTACCATAAAAATTAAATGAGAAAATGTATGTCAAGTACATCACATAGCGTCTAGCTAGCACAGAGTAAATCCAGTAAGTTCTGGCTCCAAAATTATTGATGTTATTGCCACTGTCATTATCCATCCTGTAGGCCACAAGCAGCCAGTGGGAGGTTTTTGATTGGGACGGTGATGTGGGGTCAGATGTTAGTCTGGAAAGTACATTTGATGGCAGTGAGAATGAATCACGAGGGGAAATACTGGGGCCAGAGCAAGCATTTGGAGGCTCCCCTGACTGTCAAAGCACAGACAGACGGCAGAGGAAGGGACCCCCTGCCCCGGGCTCCTTTCATGAGATCGTCACACACACTGTGGATGTGACATTGCTGGTTTATTCTAAATGGGATCAAAAGGTCTGTCCTTAAGTATAATGGATGAAAGGAAAACTATACATTTTATAAGCATATTTAAAGCATGTCATTGATCAGAGTTAGAGCAGGATTTTAGAAGTTGAAGAGTTGCAACTTTTAGAGGATGTCAAAGCCTCTGACATATAGCTTAGGCGTCCAAGTTCTCTCTGTTTACAGGGCAAATTAAAGAGAGGTTCCCAGAAAACTAACCGCCGAGGAGACACCAGTCTAGGAAAGAAAACCAAATGCTCGATGCTGTATAAATATCTCTGTGTATGTCTAGGATCTGGTAAGTTACATAAAACTGAATATGAAATTATCTCCCCAACTTCCCTATGGTGGCTATGCACAGTGAATGAAACCCGGCTGTTAATATCTGGGAGCACTGGAGGTTAAGTTCAGTTAATAACCCCCAGTTGGAACAGGAGCCAGCCAGGAGAACTCGCTTCTCTAACCATCATACTGGTCTTGCTTGTGTCTGTCTCCAACAAGAAGCAGTGACCTATTTTGAAGTTAAGCAAACTCTTGGCTCTACTGTGAGGCTCACTCTTGTAGAACACGCATAGAAGTGGGCCTCTTCCTCAGCAGCTGGTCACAGAGGAGAATGTTAATAGGATGGATCTCAGGTTTTTCTAAAATGCACAATATTAGTAATCTGTACATAATTATATCCCAAACACATGGCAATCTGCATGTGTAATCCTCTTGACTGACTTGAGGAGGTGAGTGACAGATAGTGCAGAACCTTCAGAAGCATGCTGTCGCTGCCAGTTTAAAGTAGAATTTCTAGTCTTCGAGGCTACTGCTGCACATGTGTTTGCATTTGAGTGGGATAGATGTGAATCCTCTTTTCAAAAGGATTAGAAGTTTTCACTGTGCACTTGTGCAGAAATTATTCATCAGAATAGGAGTTAGATGTGAAGGAAAAAATAAAAGCGTTAAGAGACATCACAGAGCAGCCTTTGTGCATGGTTTTCTGTTCGTTGAATGCAAGTAGTCACATTGGCTTTCTGGGTGGAAGGGATGGATTTTCTCAGAGCCGAACATGCGTTGCTGTCCCAGGCCTGAGGGTGTCTAACGACACACATTTGCAGTGTAGCTGCTTGGGATGGAGGTGGAGTGAGACTCGGAAACAGAGAGATGGGGTTGTCACTTAGAAATAAGACTTCCCCTAGCTAGCTACGCTAATAATCAGTGTAGGAAATGCTGTCACTTCTAGATGAGAGATAACTGTGAATTAATGAAGTTAAAGCAATGGAACTTGGAATAAAAACAGAAGACGAAATAGGGCCTCTGATTTTATGTGATCCTATATGACCATATCACTCATAACGGAAACTGAGACTAAGATTAAGTTGCTTGCTTGAGGTCACACATCTAAGTCACTGTTAAGGCTAGCTTATAACTCCTAATTCTGTGTAATTCTGCCAGTTCACACTGTCTCAGGGAGGTAACTGTAATCAGGGTATTTCTACCCATTTTTTCTCTGCCCAGCTCAAACTGTTTAAGCAAAAAGGGTGCTTCATTGGCTCACAGAATTAGAACAACCAGAGATCTACATGCTCCAACATTGTCTCCAGCTCATTCTTTGCATGTTTTACATGGACTTTCTCCACCTGGTGGACCAGATAGCCTCTGGAAACTCCAGACACACATACCGACTCAGCCTAAAAGCCTCAATAGAAAGTCTCTTTCTGATATATTTTGCCAAAGTCACAGGAAAGCCTGCGATTGGTTCATTTTGGATTGGGTGTTCATTTCTGGACCAATCACTTGCCACAGGACATGGATTCACCAGCTCACGTATATACTCTGTAGCAAGGTTATCTCTTTTAGCCTCATGAAATATATTTTTCACAAGGCCTAATCTAACCCAAATAGATAAAAACAACAAATATGTCTTATGATTATATACGTTAACATGCAATCTCATGGAAGGAAATAATTAAGAACAGAAACTTACCAAACACAGGAATACCAACAGCTCTGGAAATGGTGTTTCTCTTCTTCTAAATAACTTGGGTTGGCATCTGTAATGACACATATATAGGAAAAATCTCATTTCTGGAGATGGAAGAAAAGATTGGTTTGCTATGGTCTCCATCAGGACAATTGCTTTCATACACACTCTTCACATACAAAATATTTTATATTGTTAGAACAGGGTTTGGCATTTACTGAATGCTCACTCCCTTCCTTTGCCCACACAGAGTCCACATACAATTGTTCGCTTGATTTGCACCAGACCACTGCTGTCGCCTTTTCCCACCACAGACTGTCAGCACCATTCGCCTTCCAGTGTCCCCATTAAGAAACAAACTACTGTAGACTGCTTCGTAGTTTCGGTTTTCACTGTTCGGGTTTTTTAATGGCACAATGCCCACCATGGCCTATCCCTGCCCTTTGGGATTTCAAAGCGCACATTCCTGACCCTCCTAGCATAGCTGAAAGGGCTTGAGTTATTCTGAGTTTCCAAAAATGTACCCCATTTTTCTGTGTATAATGCCACTGTTTTGACCCAAATTTTTTTCGGAAAAAAAAAATCAGATGGTCATTATAGGTAGTGTCAGGTAGTACCTGAAATACCTTGTATCTGTTCTTGTTTTTGGTAATTCTTTGTTACATAAAATTTCTTGTGCCATAATATGTTCAAAAGTAAATGCTAAATTCCCTTTATAATACAAAAAAACCCCCAAGAATTTAAATATAAATAAATAATCAAGTTAAAAATTAAAACAAAAGATTTTTTTTTCCTCTGAAAGTTTGGATCAAAAATGTGGGTGCTCATTTTACATGGCAAAATACGGTAATCATAGAGCTGGAGATACCGTGGAGTGTGGCCAAATTAGGTTTCTACAATATCGCTTTTGAGGAAAATCAAAGACTTAAATGCAGTCCAAATTCTTAATTAAGAAAATGGCAGCTGTCTCATTCCAGAGGAGGCCAAAGTAGTGGTGTCATGGTTCGGAGCTAAGGCTTTCATGTTAAGCAGTGGAGGTACCGTCCCCACATTATAAGTAAGGTCGTGAAGGCTTAGGGGGTGAAGTAACTGGTCTAAGGTCACAGGCTGCAAGAAGTCAGCATTTTAACCAGCTCTGATTTTTCCCCGTCAGTATGAGAATTAGACAATGCAATTCATCTCCTAGGCTGCTATCATTTATCATCTCCCCCTCAGTCCCTGTTTAGTAAAGAGAAGTTGAGGGAATAGGACTAAACGGAAAAACCATACAGAAGCCGAATTTCAAGATAACAGTACCCATGGGCCAGAAAACAGTCTTGTAATTGCCTATTTCATTCAGTAGGGGAAAGAAAAGTCTAAAAATACTTACAAAACACTTCATTAAAAATTTGCCCTAGCACCTCCTTAAAAAAATCTCCTGCAAACAACTGGTTTAGAAATAAGGGATCTTATTCAAAGATGAGTAATCACAAAGAAAACCTCTGAAAAAGTTGTCCCAGCGGTTGAAAGATACTATGAAGAGCAAAGGGGGAATGGAGTGGAGAAAACAGTGAAAATGAAAGAACACTCAAAAAAAAAATTTTGCCACGGAGAAGATAAAATTGTGGCCCGGTCTTCACTGTGAACACAGCCCAACAAAACTGCCTCATGAAGCAGTCATCGCTGAAAATCCAGAGATTAAGTCAGAAGTCTATAAAAGCCCGGAGTTGTGCTGTTACCCACCTATAGAATGCAGAAGGAAAAAAAAATGGAGCTGGTTGGTCTGAGGAAAGAAATGGAAGATAAAACTGAAGCCAACGCAAAACTGAATTCGCAATGGGAAGCCACACAAGGAAGAGCAAACACGGCTCGCGATGCAGTAGACCACAGAATACGGGATGGGAAAAGCAGGTGTAAAAGGCAGTGAGGAAAAGCACTGGTCGCAAACACAGATGGGGTTATCCCACATGTGTACAGTTGGAGCCCCTGATGACACTGACACAGAATGGCCAACACGACGACATACCCTAGCACGTTTCCTGGATGTCCAAGATAAAGGGGCACTCCTCTCTGGGCAGCCAAGAGAAAACAATTCACGTTCTGGATACAGTGGGGAGAGAGCTTCAACAAATGCTGAAAGACAGGCAGCATTGCCTACAAAATCTCCGGGGATAGAAAATATGGCTTAAAAATGTGATTTAAGAACTTTATTCCCAGCTGAAATACCAGATGCATTTTTGAATATGCAAGAACATAGAGAATATCATTCCCTCATTGTCTTTATTGAAAAATCCACCGAAGGGAAAACTTCAGCCCATTCATATAAGATCGTAAAAACCACAGCAAAAAGACTTGTTCTGAGGACTGAATAAGACTGAGACTAAATGTCATGCAGGGATAATGGTTTCAGAGCAGAATATACATTTTATTAACCTTGACAAAACTTGGGGGTGTTAAAGGAGTAATGGAGAAAAGGAAGTATGACTACAGTGATTTTTCTCACATTTTATGGTAAAACAAAACCGAAGTAAACACAAGCAAAGAAATAAACTGAAATTGGGTGGTAGAACAAAGGGGAAAAGAGAAAACACACTAATTTTATTACTGATTACAAGAGAAATTTGGTCAATACTATTTAAAGAAAAAAGCATTAATAGTTATTACTAGTGTCACAGTTTAAATAATTACTAAAATTTAAACTTTCTAAATCATTAAAACAAATACACACAAAAACTGTAACAAGAAATCATCATGAAAGAATTTTAAAATATACTAACAAAAACCCCCATGCCTTTTAAATTAAGATAATAAATTACAACATATATGGCTACCATCTTATGTTAGATCAGTAGTGTTTATATATTTCAACAATCAGTTAACTAAATCTCATTCGAGTAATCAGTGCCACGTTTCCCTTGAGGCTTTATCAAAAAATTTCAACATATTAAAAATAACAAATAAAGCTTTTCTTCTTCCCTGAAATTAGGTAAACTTTTTATTAACCAGTTGGCTAAATAACTGCACCCAAATCAATGGCAACTGCTTTAATAAAAAGGTCACTTGTTTTTCTTGAAGATGCCAGAAGATTATTGTTCTGGGTCAGGAGTCCATTTGCACATGGGGTATCCCGAATGGTTGCGCTAAGGTGTGTTATTCGAGCCAGAGACAACGGTTTGTAGCAGGTGGAGTGATGCTGTGTTTCCGACCCTCACCTCTTGGAGTGGGATTGGTGAAGTGAGGGGTATGGGTTTCCCAGGGCTGCGATAACAAGGTACCACAGACTGGGCAGCTTAACCAACACAAATGTGTGGTCTCGCAGTGCTGGAGGCTGGAGGCCAGGCAGTTGGTAGGGCTGGTTCCTTTTGAGTGCTGTGAGAGGGAACCTGGTCCATGCCTCTCTCCCAGCTTCTGGTGTTAAGCTGGCAACCTTTGGTGTGCCTTCTCGAGTAGACACATCTTGATCTCTTCCTTCATAGTCAGTAACATTGCATTCCCCTTCTGTGTGTGTCTCCGTGCACCTGTCTCCTCCTTATAAGGACACTAGTCATAATGGATCCGGAGCCCACCCAATTCAGTATGACCTCATCTTAGCTAATTACATCTGCATGGCTATTTCCAAAGGAGGTCATATTCTGAAGCAGTGGAGGGTGGGTCTTTACACTGCAATTTTGCGGGAACACGATTCAACCCGTAGCCAAGAAAGAAGGTGTTGGTTCTGAACTGGTAAAGCCGACTATCCAACCCGTCGAAGCAGACAGACACAACCAAACTGAATGCCAATTAAACTCATATTAAAATTAGGTGCCATTGCTGGTATACATGTTGAATGTCCCTGGCACACCTTGCAGGATCTCTACCCATCAAATAGATAATTCTGCTTATTGCTATGTATCATTGGTAGGAAAGAAGGCAGACGAGTGTATGAGAGTATGAGAAGAACTCAGGCTCCTAATCTAAGCACCCTGAAACTAGGACCTCTAACAAGTGATGGAGACATTCTGGAATTGTTAAGACTTTCCAAACTTATTGCACAAATCACTGCTGTCTGGCACAATTCACTGCTGCTGGGCTCGGGCGCATCTTCTCGTGTCTCAGCCACACTGCTGACGCCTCACAGAGACACACGTGCTCTGTTTGGGGACCAACAACATCGCGACCATTCTCTGTTGCTAACAAAACATGGAGGTGAGGGAGGCTCGAGGTTTCACTTGTCCAAATGAACTCAGTGTGTGCAAGAGCGAAAAGCTTTTATATGGTCCAGGTGGAGAAAAGAAACTCTTCCCTGCAAGTTTCAGCTTTAGTTAATTGGTTGATGTTTCCTAAGGGAGAGGGACAATATGAAAAGGGTCTTGGGCAGTGTGAGGTAAGGCACGATGCCACTTAAAAGCAGTAACATAACACTGAAGTCTACAATGAGATTTTCCCTTTTTAGCTTCCTTTGTAGCGACACAATGGAGAGAATTGGCCATTTCAGTTTGTGTTAGTGGGATTTTAGTCCTTAACACCTTCAAACCTCTCTTGTAACCCAGAGGAAGACGCCACGGCTCAGAGTTTTAGGTAGTTACCATTGTTTGCTTGGAGTGGGATACTATTTTAAATTACATTTATTTTGCCATTACTTTCTAGTTATGGCTACTGATAGAAATTTTCCATTTATGAAAGGCACAAGGTTTTAAAAGAATACATTTCTAAGTTAATTTTAAAAACTACAAAATAAATTATAGTCACACAGTTAAGCCAAAAATGGAAAGGTGGCATGCAGATGACTAAAATTTGGGAACCAGTGAATTCATTAGTTTATTACGAGGGCATTTGCATACAAGAACAAAGTATTCCACTGGATGCTCAAGAAATGTGTTTAGTTGGGAGGAGAAGTGATACTGTGCACACAAATTTGCATGTTTTGGTTGGGTAGAAAGCAAACTCCCAGAAATCCGGCAAATCTCTTTTGCTGGGACGGAGCTATGGCCGAACTCCAACCGCGTCTGGAGAGGGTAGCTACGCCCCTTCCTTCCTTTCTGTTTTCATTCCTGGCTACCCTGTTTTGCATTATGCTTGATCCCACAAGCCACCACTGATCCTTTTGGGAAT